GATGGACCTGGGGACAGCCAGGACAAACCTGGAGATCCATGAGATCCCCAGAAGACACCCCAGACCCCATCCCAGGGTGTCCCGTGGCTTCAGGATGGACCTGGGCACAGCCAGGACAAACCTGGAGATCCCCAAGATCCCCAGAAGACACCCCAGACCCCATCCCAGGGTGTCCCGTGGCTTCAGGATGGACCTGGGGACCCCCAGAACATTCCTAGATTCCCTGGGGGACATCCCAGACCCCATTTCAGGGTACCCCACAACTTTGGGAAGGACCCGGGTACAGCCAGGACAGATCTGGAGACCCACAAGATCCCATGGGACACCCCAGATCCCATCTCACGGTGTCCCGTGGCTTCAGGATGGACCTGGGGACAGCCAGGACAGATCTGGAGATCCATGAGAACCCCAGAAGACACCCCAGACCCCATCCTGGGGCACCCCACAGCTGCGGGATGGAACTCAAGACCCCAAGGATGGCCCTGGGGACCCCCAAAATCCCATAGGACACCCCAGTCCCCATCCCATGGCCCCCTGTGGTTCTGGGACGGACCTGGGGATGCCCCAGTCCCCGTTCCTGGGACATCCCGTGGCACCGGGACAGACCTGAGGACCCCCAGGACCCCCCCAAAGCCCAGGGAGACACCCCCCCGATGCCAAGACCCCCCCCAAACTCACCGGTCTCGAGGTACCAGAGATCCTTACAGCAGACCTGGTTGTTCCAAGCTTTGCGGTAGCCGTCCCGGCCGCTCCAGATGTAGAGGCGGGTGGTGATGGCCACCGCGCAGTGGCCGGCCCGTGCCCGCGGCACGTTGTCCTCCAGCGTGTCCATCAGGATGGGCTCCCACGCCATGGAATCTGGGGAGGGGGGGGGGAGATTCGGGGCACCGCGACAAAATATTTGGGGAAAAAACAAGGGGTTTGGGGGAACGTTGGCCGGGTTGGGAGAGGTTTGGGGAATCTTTGGGAAGTTTGGGGGTCTCGGGGGGAAGCTTGGGGAGGGTTTGGTCATCTGGGGAAGCTCCAGGAGAGATTTGGGGGTCTTGGGAAGAGACACGAAGGTCTTAGGAAGAGGTTTGGGGGACTCAAGAAAGGGGTCTGGGGGTCCCTTACCCAGGTTGAGGCAGGCCAGGGTGTTGGTGCACTTCCACTCTTTCTCATGGGTGGCCACCTTCACGTCGTCCATGACGAGGGGCACCCAGCCCCCAAACACGTACATCCTTGGGGGGGGACACGACACACACGATGTGGGGGTCAAGGGGGGTCTGCGGGACCACCCGTGGCATCCCTGGGGTGGGTGGGGGACCCTCCCATCAATTAAAAGCTTCAAGAAATACAAACACGGGCTATTAAACGTTAAACGATGCGTGTAAAGACGCGGGGGGGAATCAAGGGGTGCAGAAAGCGCCCGTAATTATACAACATTAATTGTGGGTATTTTCTTAATAGCGCTGGGCGACACCCCAAAACCGCCCCAGTGTGCCTATAGGAACGTTAAAGACCCCCCCGTGTCCTCTCCCGGGGACAAAAAGGGGGTGAGGGGAACTTGGGGGACCCCCAGGACCGTCGTTTTGGGGGCACGGAACCCCCGACTCACTTGTTGCCGATGGTGGTGGCGGAGTGAAGGCTGCGGGGCAGGGGGGCCACCCCGCTCAGGCTGGGCTTGTTCCAGGTCAGCGTCTCTGCCGGCGCCCCGAAACAACGACAAGTGATCAAATTGCCCCCCCTAAAAAAAAAAAAACCAGCCCCCCGCCACCCCACATCTCGCCCCGCCTCACCGATATCGAGGGTCCAGAGGTCTCCGAGGCGCCAGCCGCTCATTCCCCCGTAGATAACGAGCTTGGACTTGCGGCTCTCCCGCTCGGTGTAGACGACGGCCGTGTGGGATTCCCGGGGGGGGGGCAGCACCCCGTAAGTGATGGGGATGTCCCAGGCCACCACCCCCGAGCCCGGCCGCAGCTCCAGGATGTATAGATCGTTTAGGTACCTGCGGCGGGGAGGGGGGAATACACCTCGTGAGACAAAACAGGCGGCTCGGGGGGGCCGGGACACCCCTAAAAAGGACTTGGGGGTCTTGGGTGTCACCTGTG